TATATATACATTGCACTTTAGATTTAAGACAAAAGGTTCTGTGCATGAAGCGATGGATTTTTCCACCGGGATTTTTTATTTAAAGGAGAACTATGGGGTCAGTGTTTTCCCCCATAGTTCTCCTAAGGGTCACGGGAGGACATAAACTAGCGTCCTCCCGTCACCCAAAGCTCAGTATACCGCCAGCTACAGCTTCCAATATACTGAGACCACCGCAGCCGGGACGGATCCCGACATGGACGTCGGGATCCGCCCAGCTGCGTGAGTGACATCTGGCTCTGCCTATCTAGAGGCAGCTGTACTTGCCCCCTCCTAGTCTGTTTCGCCAGTCAGCGCTGGAGGATCAGAGCGGAGAGGGGGGAATCCCTGCAGGGAGCTGATTGGAAAGTGAGCGAGCGACGGAATGTGTTCGCTCACTTCCTGATCTATTGAGCCGACGTGTGACAGTTTCATTATCACACGTCGGCTCGAACTATGAGGTGGAGTGATTTTCACTCGCCTCATCCTTTAACTACTCGTGATGAACAAACATGAACGATGCTAAACAATGCTTCAGAAGCTGCCAGAAGCATTTTGATAGGCCAAGTTCATGTTTCGGAAGCCCGCCTCCTCTCTCTATACATTATGGACACATTTCGGTGGGTGTCTACCAATGTGGCCTCCCTAATAGAGTAGAAAACAAAGATCAGCAGCACTCAGAGGATAACGTTCAAAATTCGGCCATGTGATATCATGTGACGATGTGTGAGAATAAATGAACAGCAAACTTTGAACGTCATCCTCCGAGTGCTGGTGAGCTTTGTTTTCTACTGACTGATGCCATCTGTGATTATCACTACAAGCACCACCATTACCTATTCGTCCTAGATGCTGTAAGGCACATGTGTGAAATGCAAGGCCCAGCGGCCGAACCCGGCCCACCATTTCCTAGACTTCTACTTTCAGATCTAGGTATTAACCACCTCCGGGCCGGCCGTAGTAAAAAAACGGCCGGCCCGAGCTCTCTAGATCTGAGCGGGCGTCTATAGACGTCCGCTCAGACACGCCCCCCCGCGCTCGGCGCGCGCGAGCGGGAAATGGCCGTTTTTTTTTATACTGAGCTTAGGGTGACGGGAGGACGCTAGTTTGTGTCCTCCCGTTACCCCAAGGAGAACTATGGGGGAAAACACTGACCCCATAGTTCTCCTTTAAGTTATTACTAAAACCAGTGATCATGGAATGCAGAGGCAATGATGAGAAAGATTAGATACATTTATATAGTCTTAGAGATACAACCAGCCCTTTGAGGCGCTTGATGCGTCCCGCGATTATATTGAGTTGGACACCCCCCTGCTGTAAGGAGTGCAGGGGGACATATCGGAATACCTCCCCAATAGAGGAGTCTCACCGTTTCTTCATCTCCAGTTTGATGTCGATCCCCTGTTGTTCCAGCAGCTCCCGCTGGGCAAAGTTCCAGTCGACGGGTTCGGTCTGATTCTCTACCGGGGCGTTGTTTCTCTCCCTCTCCAGACGCGCCTGTTCCGGGTGGTTAAAGCGGAAGACGTGGTTCTTTCCCATCACTATCCTGTTACCTGCAAGCCGGATAGGGAGACTATAGGTCACCCTGCCAGGGGAGGAGCCAGCTTTGCCAGAGTCGCCCGATGAGAAACTCACCTGATTTCAGCACCAGGAGTTGGGTCACCTGCTTTCCATTGACATAAGTGTAGGCTCCGTCACAGGACTCCAGGGTGACGATGACTGCGGAGAGATGGCATGAGGTGGTGAGATCGGTAACGCAGAGGGGGGGGGGGGG